TCATCCTAGAAAGTCAGGGGAAACTCTGGATTTCAGAAGACTTTTGGTTATGCCAAGCCTTTCACATTTGAGATCAAAGTCTTCACTGGTGATTTGCAAAGTTAGAAAAATATTCCAACAAAACAGTTAATCAAAAGGATTTTGTCGCTTCCACTAATCCATCTTTTATTCAGTACTTTGTTTAACATTTTAAAAGTGTTCTGCACTCTCCCAGCAGCATATTACCCAATATATACAGAGTGTTCTGAGAAGGGCAGCTGGAGAAAGGGCAAACCTCTCACTTCAGGGCTTWAAAGTGGTTAAAAGTCCTTTGCAGTGCTGAGAAACTCATGAGCTGCTCACTCCTCCCTCTCTCAAAGCCAGTTAAATATTTCCAAACTTCCCTATCAGCAGTGTATTTCTCCAAGGTTTCCCCCATTATCAACACAAAGAGAAGAATATACATCAGTTCTCCTACATAACTTTAAAAGCATTAAAAAAAACCACTTGCCTGGTGTTTCACGGGTTTGGGTGATTCGGGCTGTTCATTGCAAACAAACAAATGATAAGTTAGCAAGCAGACATTCCAGCTGCATGTCACATCCCAAGTTATCACTGTCAGCACATTTAACAACACACTCACTCCACAGAAAGCTTCACAGAAACTGCCCAAATTCATTTGAGAACAAAAGTTATTGGCATGTGTGAAATACTGCAACCTGTGTTTATGCTGAGGACTAATTAAACCTGAGATGACAGATGGCCCTGGAGCAGCAAGGGGAAAAAAAAAGGGCAGGAGGTTCATTATTTGGGTACTGCTTTCCAGCCTTGCCAAACAACAGCAAAAAATGAAGCTGAACACCTTTCTCATCAGCCYTGGGCAGTGTGAGATGGTTTGGATGGAGGAGATGATCCTTGTCCTTCAACACTCCCAGAGGTCATGGAAAAACAAGAGGGAAGAGACACAAAGGAATCTGGGGTTTGGGTTTGCACKGTACTACAAATATTAAAGAAATATAAATAATAAACCCACACTCCAGATGAGACCTTTGTTTCTTTCTTTCAAGCACCACCATGAACAGCAGCACAACATTAAACTGGAAAYGTTGCCAGCAAGGAGGACAAAGGGAATGTGAAAGTAATGAAGTAAAACAAAAACCCTTCAAAACTCAAATCTGCACAGCTTCTGCAGAAATTTTCAATTCCATTCTTTATTCCTTGGCTCAGACTGTGAATTTAATAATCTTGAGCTTCATATCTGAGAGCCTGGRGCAAAATATTGTGAAGAAACACACACACAGCAAGAAATTTTTATCCCAAGCCAAATGAACTCTTTCTGTTACTCTTATTTTACCAGGGCAGCATCACAGATTTTGACACAGATCTGTAAAGCAGCTGGCAGAGGTTTGGCTTGGTCAGGTGAGCAATGTGAATTTTCAAAGCTGTACTCTATCCGCCAGGAAAAGAACTACCCCTCCTGGAATTGTGGAAAAGGCCAGGAACACCTTGGAATGCAGAGGAATTTCATTTGTTTATATTTAGAAAAGATGAACGGCATTCTTGGGTGTCCATTTTTGTCCTCACTAGAAACAGAACTGAGCAGAATCAGACACAGATTTAACTTCTCTGTGTTTAAATTAGGGCAGTTAAAGCCCACTTGGGGGACCCAGGGGAGCTTTAGCCTGAGCGAGCCTACCCAAGATCCTGTCCTTTAAAAACTAATTCTGTTTCTTTAGAAATTAATAAAACAAATTAAGCAATTTAGCATTTCAGCTACCAAGGCAAATGCAGCAACTGAAAGCAATCATTAACCTGAGAGTACCAGTAATGAGCTCTGAAGTTTAAAATAGCACCAACATGAAAGAATGGGTTTAGTGAAAACAGAGCCAGTTTGGGGTGAGAGAGGTCTGGAGAAACCTCAGAGCTCCTTCCAGGGCCTAAAGGGGTTCCAGGAGTGCTTAAGAGGGACTGGGGCTGGAGAGAAAGGACACAGGGAATGGYTTCCCAGTGCCAGAGGRCAGGGATGGATGGGATATTGGGCAGGAATTGYTCCCTGGGAGGGTGGGCAGGCCCTGGCACAGGGTGCCCAGAGCAGCTGTGGCTGCCCCTGGATCYCTGGCAGTGCCCRAGGCCAGGCTGGACATTGGGGCTGGGAGTGACCTGGGACAGTGGGAGGTGTCCCAGGAGCTGGAAMAAGATTGGCCACATCACAGGGACACTGAGGTGCCACTAACAGCACGATTTCAGTCCCTCCTCTCCTGCCTGTCCTGCTGCACAGGGAACTGAAGAGCCACAAATTGAGCTGCTTCCAAGCCTCCTTTCCTCCCTTCTCCCAGTGCTCAACCTGCCCAACACCCTCAGCACAAACACCACCCTCTTGCTCACCTGCTCCCTGTCCTTGCTCTCTGCCTCCCCTCTGGCTCCACACAGCTCCTGACCCTGCAGTGGAGGGGACAGGGGCTCCCCTGGGTSCCTAAGGAGCCTGGCACCTCTGCCCAGCCCAGCTCACACCCCTGGGGCTCAGCCCTGCTCCAGGCCAAGCACGCTGGAAAGCTGGGCACGTTACCAGCTGAACAAAATACAAAATGCTTGGGGCAGGCAAAATGTTCAGCTTTAAAATTCTTAACACCCAGCCCCTCCAATTCTTTCAAGCTCAAGGTGAAGCAGGAGCTTTCAGTTCTTAACAATAGAGCCCTTCCATCCTCTGTCSCTTGCCCCACACCAACCAGGAGATCCCTGTGCCAGCTCTGCCTCCCAACCAAGATTCCTGCAGCCAAAAATTCAGCTTTGCTTCCACCCCACCCTCAGCCTTCAGAAGGGCCCTGGTTTATATCCCACTGCCGACTCCCTCCCCTCCCCTGCCCGGCTCTCCAAAGCCCAGCCTCCATTCCCAATTTCAGGCCTGCTGCAGTCTCACCTGGCTCTGCCAAATCCCACAATTACTGAAGTTTCTCTTGTACATTTTTACCAGCACCGCCACCTCCCCACACTTCCGAGCGCAGCGCCCAAGACAACATCTTGGGATTGCACAGGAAATGAGACACGGGGGCTCCAGATTCCAGCACTCCAACATCAGCAACCACCACTGCCATGGCAGCCCAGCACTGAAATTCCAGTCCCTGGGGCTGCCGTGTGTTACTGACTCTGTTTCCAAGGATGATGTGCTAAAAGCTGTGCAGGACTTGGTCAGCCTAAAGAAAGGGGGATTTTGGGAAAGAAAAGCCTCATGGCCAAGCAGGGGGATGCCATCCATGCCAGGCTGGGCAAGGGATGGGCACAGCTCCTCACAGAGGCCAACCATTTCCCACCATCCCAGCTGGAGCAGGTCCCTGCTGGGCCCCTGTGACATAAATGCTGCTCAGAGGTGTCAGACTGGGGCTCCTCTGGTTTGTTCTATTTTTACAGCACTGTCAGGCAAATCAGAGTCAACCCAAGGCTTAGCATACAAATTGCTTCATTTAAAAAAAATAATCAATGAGCCATTCAAAGAGTGTCAGAAATATGCATGTCACTGATAATCATCTGTAACAGGATGGCTGCAGACAGACTGCAAGTCATGGATTAATTTAACAAGCCTGTTTAGCATCTTGTGCACAGGGTAATGCTCAGGTGCTACACACYGTGGATCACCAGCAGCCCTCTACAGCTTTCCAATGAATATGCAAACAGGAACAAATTAGGGCTGCTTCTAATTCTAACAATTTCTGACACCTCCCAACTTTCCAGTGGCACCTGTGAGGGTTAGACATACTYTGTTTCCAATACATAAACAAAAATTCAGTGTTATGGAACAACGGATACTCATTTCTATTCTCAAAGCTGATTTGGTGACAAACATTCTGTGTTTTTCATGGATATAAGGCAGATTAAGTGCTCACTGTGGTACTGCATTGAAGGCTTTTATTCAGGACACTCCTCTATTTCTTGTGTTCCAAATCCCAGCTTTCCCCTTTCTTTCTTGTGCCTTCACTTCTGTAACCCCAGTTCTGCAGGAACACAAGTAAAGGAGCAAAGCTGCTTTACTGGAAGCCAAATGGGCTTTTWAAGAGCACTGGTGTGAGGCTGCATCAGCCCCCAAMCCCAGGGAGCAGCCATGGAACTGCWACAATGACAGTCTCCTAAGGGGGAACATTACAGAGGGCCTGGCACAGAAATTCGAGCAAACCCAGCACAGGGAAAGCCAAACCCACAGAACACAGCCAGGGCTGCAGGGGAACAGCTCCCAGGGAAGCTGCATCATCCCCATCCCTCGAGATTCYCAAAACTCAGCTTTCATGGGGCTTGGGCAATGCAATCCCACTTGGAAGGAAGGCACATTTTGCAAGGTGCAAGGACAAGARGCTTCCAGAAGTGTCTTTCAGCCTGAGGTATCCCACATTGTCAACAGTATAGTTAGAAATACTTGATATAAACCCTGCACAATTCCCTTCTCTCCAAAAGCCTATTGGCAATTTGGCTTCTGTAGAAACTGAAAAAAACACTGGGTTTGTTGAGGGCTGCAAAAGAAGGCTTGGCTCGTAAAGCCAAGAATATTCCTAACTCAAAACCTCCACAGAAAATCAGTTCTGATGGATGATGTCCCAATAGTGTYCCCAGAGCCACCATCTCCCAACACACCCCTGGCACTGCTGCCACCACAGTCCTGAGCAATGTCCTCCTGAGGGCTGCAGCCCACACCAATCTCAGCAAATCCTACAAAGACTGATTAGGATCTTTCCTGTGGGACAAACAAGCAGCATTCCATGTAAGTATGAATGCACAGGCTCACATTATTTGCTCCTGATGAAGCAAAGATTCAAGTTTCCCTGCACACATCACTGGATTTCTCCAAATCTACCTGGCACCTTTCCTTCTCTCCCACTCCAAATCTTTGCCTTTGTTTTCCTCCACAGACTGGGCCAAAGTCATCTCCTGCTCCCACAAGAGTCTGAGCCYTGGCATATTCAGGAATGTCTCAATGTGAAGTGCCCTGCACTGAATTTAGAGGAGGTGTAGCTGCTACAGAGGAGGAATGGCCTAAGGTTGTGCCAGAGGAGGTTCAGGTTGGACATCAGGAGACATTTCTCCAYTGCCAGGGTGGTTAAACATTGAAACAGGCTGCCCAGGGAGGGGTGGAACCACCATCCCTGGGGGGTTCAGAAAATGAGTGGAAATGGCACTTCATGGTATGGTTTAGTGGGAATGGGGGTATTGSTCAAAGGCTGGACTTGATCTCAGAGCTCTTTGCTGTGATTCTGTCATTCTATTGTTCTATAATTCCATAAAATAATTTAGATTGAAGGTTCTAGACACCACAGACACCTGCATCACCACTGGAAAACCAGGCATGTGCCAGTTTTGGTTAGAGCAAGACCCCTGCTTGCAGCAAAGCTGAATTAACACATCCCTGCAAAGAGATGCAAGTGCTCCTAACACCAAATATTCAGTGTCATTCATTTTTTTAAAAGCAAAGAATCACCAAAAATTCAGTGCAAATGTTGAAGCCTGGTAGGAAATCTGAAGAAAATTCTATATAAATCAGGGCTCGTTTCAAGGTAACAAAAAAACCAATATTCTCTGACATAAAAATATATACTCACTTGTTTGTAGTGCAATAAAATCTGAGCTTTTAATTAGATGCTGGCTTCTAGATACAGCAAGTCTTACAGCAGTTTTTAAGTTGGATGATTTTTCACATCTACAAGTTAATTTTGAAAGAACAAAAAGCTTGTTCACAAATGTAGTACTAAAAACTGCATCCAGTGGGAACTAAATTCAGTTTGAATTGCCTGGGTTTATTGAGTTTATTTGAGAACTGGGGTTTATTGCATCAGAAAGCTTTGTTATTATTTGTATAAAGCCTTTAATTTCACAAAAGAAATTAGACARTTGACATGGACTAGAAATTTTGATGTAACACCTCAATCAGCCACTGTTAAGGAGAAAATAATGGTTGAGACAAAATTACATGGAATATATCACAGTTTTTCTTTAATAAAAAAAGTCATTTTTTCAAATGCGAAGATGGTAGTTTGCAAAAAGAGCAATAAACAAACGAGAAAATATCCCAACTTACAGGAATATTATGGTCCTTTCTTCCTTTATGGGAGGAAGCAACATGAGCAAGGTACTGAATAACCTTCTTAGTGTTCTCAGTCTTCCCGGCACCAGATTCACCTCTGCAAAACAGGGCAGACATTTTCCTCAAAATTCATCTCCACCAGCTCAGCAATCCTTTGTTTACAGCACCCCACTTCATCCCATTTATGGCTCTGTCTCTGCAGCAGACCTTCACTGACCCCCTAAAACCAACAGAGGGATGTTGCAGGGAACCACCAGGTATTTGTTTAAAATCCGTTCTTCATCCTAAAGATCTCCTCAGCATTAAGATGTTGATCCAAGGTRTAACAGCAGTTTGATTAAGAGCCTTTGGCTTTTTGCCTGAGCTCCTTTGCTCCCCAAGGTAATGTGAAACACTTTGTCCCCTGCCTGGATCACTGCAGACTGCATTTTTCAGGGTGCAGAGATACGTTTTTATTTTTAAATCATGAGATATACACACTCACTTTTACAGTTAACATTATTTTAATATACTCTATATACCAGGGTTTGGTTGTGGGAATGACCAAGTGGATGGAAACACTCAGTACCTTTAGGAGCCAGAAACACAGAGCAATAAACACACTTTAAACAAGAGATTCTTTCCACTGCTCATTCAGACTCTTTGCTAGGTTAAAAATATATTTAAGGCCACGGGGCTACATCAAGCCATTAACAAATTAACTTATCAGTACAGAGTGGAGGAGTTCACAGATCAATAAAGATAGCAAATACACATTTCATTGTTAAGCCAGAGGTGGATTTAAAGCAGARTATGTTCAGACAGGATTTATGGAGAGGTTTACAGGAGAGATTCAAGGCAGGGAATGTGACCAAGGTCCTGCAATCACAAGTGACATTACTACAGCTCTAAAATAGACAGTTTGGGGGGGYAGGGGGAGGTTTCTAACCTAGGTCTGATCTTCAGACAAATCCACCCCCAGAGGGATTCAGGTCTGCCTCAGGCAGGACTCATGGAGGAGTCAAACCACTGGAGAGAGATTTTCCTGGAGCTGCCATGAGCAGCTCTGAGGTGTGGGAAGCTRAAAAGGATTGYATTATGGGATTTGCATGCAAAGAGTGGAAGCACTCCTGTCATTCAACAGTTGCTCAAAGATGAACAGTTTGGAAGCCACCTCCTCTGTAAGAATGACAAGCACACGTTTTCTCTGCCTGCTTATTTCTCTTCTAAGCTACTTATAATGGAAATGCTCATTTTCCAGGGGAACTTAGGCACATTCTTTTGCAGCCTTCTCCAACATGCTGCACACCCCAGTTTTGCAGCTAATCTGYATTTGCTTAGGGACTCAGTACCTGCAGACCCAAACTTGTTGATCAGATAAGAGTTGAGGAGCATCCCTGTCCTCACACTGCACCCAGCAGCTGCAGGAAGGAGATGAGAGAGCCCTTGGAATTCTAATTCTGCACCTGCAGAAAGGATATTGATACCACCCCAGATTTCCAAGAGAACAAGCTCAAACACTCTCATTGCTCTTCACCTTCCAACACCCTAACATCACAGAAATCCCACTGGGAATGGCCCTAAGAGAGGGGAACCTCTGCTCAGGGATGGCAGGATGGGCATTTCTGCACCCAGCAGCAAGAATCTTCATTCACAGCAGCTCATGGGACTCCTCACAAGAGCTTCAGGAAAAACAGCCTCTGTTTGACCTGACAGAACAGCAGCAACCTCCAGGTTTGGCTGGAAAAAGCTTTTCACTGAAAACCCTGAACAAAACAGTCCTGCAGATGAGCTGTGGGATATTCCACAGCCTCACTCACCCAGCTGGGGCCTTAACCAAGGTTTGTTGATGGCATCTGCTTCTTGGAAGCAACTCCATCAGCCTGTCTAAAACCACTTTGGTCSCATTTTTCCTCACAATCATTGGAAAATAATCCAGAATGTGAAAGATTAGAAAGCATTGCACTCAATTACTCAAAGCTTTCCAGAGACAGAACGGGGAGTTCCCCACAAACTCGTTGACAGGGCTGGCTTTGCTCAGTGCATGGAAAATCCTGGAAGGTGCTGGTTGCAAAGGAGATTACTCTGAGAACTGGCTAATGGATAACTGGGTTTCCTTTTTGCTAAGATACCATCACTGTGAAACCCAGAAACTGGGTGTACTTCGGGACCGCTACGAGTGGAACAACACCCTCTGCCTTAATGACAAATCCCATTTCTACCCAGCCCAGAGTCCCCACAAACAAGACAAAAGTGAATGCTGATAAGCAGAAAAAAAACCCCAAACCATCAGATGCCAATTCTTGCTTCTCAAGTCTTTATTTCTCATTTCCCTTTCACTGCAGTGTTTACATTAACATAATTCATGACCATGAGCAATAATAAAAGCGGCTTTGCCTGTTTCTGGATGTGTATTAAAATATGCTAATGCTAAAACTATTCCAGCAGGTAAGAGAAGTAAGAAGCGCAGCAAAATATATATTTACATTTTAAAACAATACAATTTGTTCTTATTGTCAGCAGAGCTTGGGAATGCACTGTTAGTTGTGTCTGCAAAGCTACAGAAATAATCTTTTCTGTCAAATCACAAAAAGAATGTTTATTACACTTTAAAGGGAGGGCAATCTCCTCTAACACAYGCAGGGAGGAAAAGCTGGTACAATAAACAGAGCTCAGATGTCAGCTCTGGAAAACGGCAGAGCAGGGGCTGGAAGAGTCAGCTGCAGACACACCAGTAAAGCTGCACAAGCACAGGAAAAGCAGGAGCTTGAAACACATTCCYTGTGTGAAAAACCCTCTAAATCCAACAGAGGGGTATTTTAGAGAGAGGCTTTATGCGAGACCTCATTCAAAAGCAACACTAACAGATGTTATCATCCCAGTCCTGMTCTCCCTGGAGCTTACAAGAATGCCAAATATTTCCTGCAGCATCGTGTCAAATAGCTCTGCTGCCATATACTATGAAAGAATTAGAAGATTTAGGATCAAGTCCTTTGCATTTATAGGAATARTGACATCTGCATACTTTGGTTCTTTCCCAGAAGTGCAAACACATGGATTATAAAAATAAATTCAAATCTTCTACCTCTATCAACCTGCCCAAAAAAGGTAAACTCCAAGTAACACCATGTACAATATTTATGGAATGGAGATGGAATCACAAAGCTAAAGCTTAACTTTTTCAAAACCTTGTTTTAATACAACTCAATCTGTTACCATAAATTAAACAACTAAAGCCCTGGACTGAGAACCAGCCTTACCTCAGCCAGTGGCAGCTCTGCTAAAACTGCAGTGGGCTCGTGATTTCACCTCCTTTAGTTCAGCCCCTCCGGTAGAATCAAAACCTTATGGGACTAAATGGAAGCATTCAGCTGCAGCCATGGGCCAYGCCAAACAGTGCTCCYARGGAAGCAAACCATCCTCAGCAATAGCTGGAAGTATAAGGTTATTCCMTCYATTAACTGAGGGATTTCTCCCTTGRAAACCACYTTCCAGGGCCAGGTCAAAGACCMACAGTGACTGGGGAATTCATGCAGGATCCCATGTCCGAGTGCTCTTCCMTGGAGCAGCAAAGCTGCTGCTTTGAAGCAGATTCATGCACATTTAAAATAGGGAAAGTTGAGCCAGCATGAGCACTTTAAAGTTTAACATGGTTCTGAATTCATTGCATGTAAAGCTGTRGAGCCATTTTCAGCAAAGCCGAGAACTCTCCAGGCAAATTTACCCCAGCTCCAATTTGGTTAGCAAAAACCAAGCACTGACTCAACCAGCTGCAGCTCCTTCCCCAAGCAACTTGAGCCCAAATCTTGCACAAAAAGCACTTCCATGGCTGAATGGATTCTCATCTGGAGAACAGGCACAACAGAGGGAGAGGATTCACAGGTGATGAAGGAATGGGAGCTGCTCTTCCCGGGGAACAGCATCCTCTCCCCACATCCCCACTTCTAAGGACAGGGATTACCCCAGAAACAGGTCAACAGTCCCTTTGGGAAATCCTGTTCCAAGAGGGAGCACTGGTCCTGAAGGAAAACAGCAGGGAGGAGCTGCTTCCCTTACTGCCCAGCAGGTTTGAAGCACTCACACATCCTGTGACTCTGACAGCACCAGCATGGCAGGGCCACCACCCCTCCCTGACCTGGCAAATCCTTTATGGACTYGAGGGAAGTCAGCTGAGTAGAAGTTGTTTACTGAAGGCCCACTGCACAGCCTGGCCTCATTCCAGCCCCCTTCCCCAGAGAGCCATTCATTCCACGAGCAGTGGCTTCCCTGAAGGTACAAAGTGCCACGAGCAGCACAGAACACAGCGACACAAACCCACAAACACGTCCCCAGAAAGCTCGGCAATTCCAAGGCATGTTTTTCTTTTTTTTGCTATCTGGGCACAATCTGCAGATAACAATATTCCTGAAGATGTGGAATGTGTTAGGATGGTCAGATGMAGTTGCAGATCAGCTCTGTGATTTAAATTCCTGAAAAACTAACCCAAACAAGTCAGGATTTTTCCTTTTGGACGCCTGGGTCACTCAAACCTTTCCTCTGCCCCAGGAATGACAGTCTAGGTCTATCCTTCCTGATCAGGAACAAGCTCTGGGATGAGAAGTTCAGGTGGGAGCAGAGAGTCCCCCTGTGAAGAAGCGGCACCACACCCTTGGCACATGGGCACACAGAGCCCAACTCGCTGCTCCCAGCTCCCCTGGCCAGCAGTGCCTCCTTCCATGGGAAGCAGCCACTTCCAGAAGGGCCCAAACCATGGAAATATGGAAATATGCWCTTAAATTGTTTGGAGGAGAAAGTAACTGCCTATGTAAGAGCCCCAACAATGGCCTTTTGTCCTCATCACAACAGCAGTTGCAAAGAACAGAGGAGACACTTATTCTCAGGCACAACTGACCAGATCATCTGCCAGTTACAAATTAACAGATATTCACAGGCAACACCTGTAATTAAAGGGTGTTTTAATCACCTGGCTTATTTGCTGTAAGAGGTATAACTGATAGTTTGGCAAAAAGGCATTAACTGGCTTTACTATTGACGTGGCTGCTTTGGAGCTGCTTCCTCTCCCTCTGGATGCTCCACATCATCTCCACACCACTCGCCTGGGGAATGTTCCCAGCTGGA